GGGGCACGGCGAGGGCTGCAGGTGGCTCCGGGCTACCCTGGGGTGGGGGACGGGCGAGCCCCCCCTGCACCGCTGGGCCACATCTGGCTCTCGTTACCTGGCGGAGGGGGCGGGGGTGGCGCCGGATGCGCCCGGGGGAAGGGACGGGGGTGACGGGGGCAAGGCTCACCCAGAGCGGGGTGACAGCGGGGACAAGGGCCCCAGTCCGAGCTCCGTGTTAGGTGACCTGCGTGACCCCCCCCGAGGGTCCCGCGTTCCCCCCCCCCGGCCCCCTCGGCAGCCGCGGGCAGCTGGGGCTTTGTCCCCGCTCCAGAGGAGGCTCATCCATCACGTCCCGGAGCCCCCGGCTGTCACGGGGGAGCTGCTTTGGGGACATTGTTCCCGTGTCACCCTCGGGGTGGGGACTGACCCCCAGAGAGGCTCCCCGCACAAAGGAGGCGCCCCAGGCGCAGGAGGGGGGAGATACGGAGGGGCCGGGGGGGCTCCGGGAGCCGAACCCCCCCCGCAGTGGGAAGGGACATGTCCCCGAGGGGTCCCCTCAATGGCCACGCCAAGCCCCCACGAACACCCCCAGGCCTGATTCGCACCGAGGGGTGCCCGAAACCGGGCTAGACACGGACCCCCACGCCCCCCATGATGCTGACGGGGGTGGGGGAGCAGAGACAGCCCCCAAAGGGAGCAAAACCAAGGCTCGGGCGGTCTGTGGGGTCAGTCCGGGGGGCTGGAGCTGATAAAGCCCCCAGCCCCCGGAGGGAGCAGCCGGGGGGAGCCCCCACTTGCGCCGTGGGAAAGGAGGAAGGCTCCGGGGGGGCTGGCAGATTTATTTTCCTGCTGAGGTTTCCCCGAGCCGGTTCCATCAGCGAGGCCAGGGCGGGGAGAAGGGGCGACGGGGGATCGGGAGTGAAACCCAAGAAAGTGATAATTATCCTGAAATATTCGTTACGTATCCCCTAACCTGGAAAATATTCTGCTCCGGCAGCTCCCCGGCTGGCGAGGAGCGGGTCAGGCGGAGGGGAGCAGTGCGGGAGCTGGATTTGATCCTGCCCAAAGCCCCGGGGACCCCCCGGAGACCCCCCCCACCTCCAGGCCCTCCCCACCCCCGCTCAGCGGGGACTCAGCTCCGCCGTGGGGGGCAAAGGGGCCCGAGATGAGGCCTGGGAGAACGGGACTCCAAAACCCCCACAAACGGGTCCTGCCCGGGCTGGTTTGGGGACACCGGCTGTACCCAGGGTCCCCGGGGCAGGTGAGCCCGCGGGAGCTTTTGGGATAGGGGGCGGGGGGGATTGGGGTGGTGCGGGTCCAGGTTTGGGGGAGCACCAGAGTGGGGAAACTGAGGCAGGAAAGAGGGGGACCCGCCCGCCCCCCTCGTGTCTCTGACTCCTCCGTGGGGCACCGAGAGCTTCGCTAAAAGGGGGAGCAGAGGGATCCCCGCGGCGCACAGCTGCTCCGGGCACCGGCACTGCCCGGCTGGAAGAGGATGTGGAGGGGAGATGGGGAGAATGTTGGGGGGAATGTGGGGAACCCCCCCGCCCCCCGCCCGAGGGAGCCCCGGAGAGCGGGATCCACTCACCCAGCGCCTTCAGCAGCTCCTCAAAATTCTCCGAGCTCTTCATCTTCCAGTTCCCGGAGAAGTTGGGCATCGCGGCTGCCGGCCTGGGGGGCGCAGGGAGGGGAGCGAGGGGGCAATGAGCGGTTCCAGGGATCCGCCGCTCCCTCGGCACCGGCCCCGCCGCTGCTTCGCTCCCTCCGTCCGTCCCGTCCCGCCCGCGCCGCCGTTTTATCGCCGGGCTGGTCCCACCCCCCGGCCCCGGCCCCGGCCCGGGGGCTCCGCGCTCACCTGCGGAGTGAGAGCCCAGGGGAGCCCCCCGCCCCGATTTGCCGGCTAGAGGCACCACCCGGGCTGCCTGTGCCCCCCAAATTCCTCCCACCCTCCCGGGATCCGCACCCTGCTCATCTCCCTGGATGCCCCGAATCTCCAGCATCCCCCCGAAACTGTGCTGAACCCCACATGTGCTGAATCCCCCAAATCTGTCTGTACCCCCCCAAGCCCCCTGTACCCTCCCGATCTCCATGTGTCCCCCCACAGCCGTGTGCACCCCCAAATCTCGCCGCACCCCCCGAGTGTGCACAGGACACGCGTGTTTGCACAGCTGTGGTGCTGGCACGGGCGTGTGCAGGTGCCTGTGCTCGCTTGTGCACACGTGGGCTTGATCCACGGCTTTCCCAGCCTCACCATCCCACACAACTCAAAAACTCACACACAAATGCACAAATTCCCAAACTCACAAAACTAACAAAATCACTCACAAACTCACTCTCAAACGTACAAATTCACTCACAAACCCACTCCCAAACTCACTACAAACTGCACACTCGTGGGGCTGTGGCCGAGCTGCCCGGGGCAGGTGAAACCCCGCTCCCAGCCAGGTAAGGAGCGCCTCGAGAGGGATTTCCCGAGCTTTCTCAGCCCTGGGAACCGCCGCGGGAAGGGCAGGCTGTGCCGCGGGGCCGGTTCTGGGCAAGAAAAGCAAGAAATGGCGTTTCTGGTTCAGCAGGAGCTCTGGAATGGAAGGAGAGAGGCTTCTTCTCCGATTTGGTGTGAAAAAGGCCCCACAGAGCCCCCCGTGGCCCCCCTCCTCCTGGCCACATCCCCCCCGTGCCCCCAGAACCTCCGGCTGGGGCCGGCGAGCCAAGTCCCGGCTTGCCGCATCCCTAATCCCCTGAAGAACAGGAATTCTGACACAACCTCACCTACAGCAGCGCCAGGGCCGTGCCACGGGGCACAGGGACAGCGACAGGGACAGGCAGCGCTGCAGGGGCCCGGGGAGGGGGTGCTGGTGAAGGGTCACCCCAAACCCTTCACCCCAGGGACGCAGGAGTCACGGGAGGGGCGGTGCTGTGGGTTTGCTCCGAATCTGGGGAAAATGGGGAGGGAAAAAAAAGCATCTCCATGCCAGGGTAAGTGGGTGGAGGGGTCTGGGGCGGGATCTGCCTGCAAACCCCGAGGGCACCCCCGCGCCCCTCGTCCCGTGCTGGGCACCGTGACCCAGTGGGGGACGCCGGCACCGGCAGCCCCACATCTGGAAGGGATTCTGCCGGGAAGGGCGGATAAAGCCTTCGCACCCCACCCTCCTCTCCCTCCCTCCCTCCCATCCTGGTGAAGCCCTGGGGGGGGGCAGGCGAGCCACTGGCCCCAAATAACCCCCCCGGAGCGCCGGTCACCCCTGGGAAAGGGCGCAGAGTCTCTGGCAGCCGTGTGCCGGTGCCAGGGCAGCAGCAGCAGCTGGCTCAGCCTCCGGAAACATCCGGCACCATCCACCGCCCGCACCCGCCTTCCCGGCAAAAATCCTCACAAACCGCAGAAATCCTGAGCGCAAACCCTGGGGGGGCTCCCCCAGCCCGGGCTGGGCTCCATCGCTGCCCCGGTACCCCCGGGGGCCCCCCAAAACGCTGTCGGTGCCACCGAGCCCCTCCTGCGAGGATGGGGGCGTCCTTGGGGGTGTTCCCCCCTCCCCGTGCACGGGATCTACCCCGGGAGGGGCTGTCGGGTACCCTCACCCCAAACAGGAGCCGAAGTTTTGGGGGGCATCCCAATTTGGGAGAGAAGATCGGGGGGCTCCTCTGTGGGGGGTGAAGCTGAGCAAGGGCAGGTCACCACTGCTCTCCGCCCATTGTCCCCACAAATCCTCCCCAGCTGGCGGGACGCAGCCCCCACCCCCCGCCTCTGGCCACGGCCACGGCCGCTGCGGAAATGAAACGCAGCTGGACGGCGCGACCGAGCCCGGCCCGGGCCCGTGGCCGAGGGACCCCCGGCTGTGGGGCGGGAGGGAGCCCACGTGCCCCGGGACCTCTGCTGTGCCTCCCCGGCGGGGCCCTGCCCTGCCCCGGACCCTCACTCAGCTCCAGGACCTGCCCTGCCCAGGACCCTCACTCAGCTCCAGGACCCTGCCCCACTTCCAGACCCTCACTCAGCTCCAGGACCTCCCTGGCCCCAGTCCCTTACTCAGCCCCAGGACCCTGAGCTGGTTCCAGACCCTCACTCAGCTCCAGGACCCTGCCCCAGCCCCTCACTCAGCTCCAGGACCCTCACTCATCTCCAGCACCCTGCCCTGGTTCTGGACCCTCCCAGGACCCTGATCCAGCCCGATTCTGGGACCCTTCCCCAGCCCCGGGAACCCACCCCCTGCTCCAGCCCCATCCGGAGGGACCCCAGGGTGAGATCGAAGGGATCCCCAGACCCTGACCCGCATCCCGCACCCGCCGGGGGCTGGGGCCCGGCCGGCTGCTTCTCATTTCCAGGGCCATAAACCCCTTTAACGACCGGCCATTTATAACCGCTGCAAAGCCCCTAATCACCGCCAGACCCAGTCCAGACACAAAGGCTCCCGCCTGCTCCTCCGCCCTCCCACCTTCCTCTGCATTTTGGGGCTCGGACAGCTTTTCCCACCCCCACCCGGGCCGTAGGGACGAACCCCCCAAGCTCCCGGCCCGTGGGATGCTCGGGCGTTTCTCTCCAGCGCACCGGGGGGACCCAAATCTTGGTTTTTATCCCAAAAAAAGGAGGAAGGGCCCCTCCTGCTGTACCCCCAAAACCCTCCCTCGGGCTCCAGCGCCCCGAGCCAAGCGCAGCCACGTAAACACGAGGAAAGGCTGGAAAAAGTGACGCACGGCGGGGGCTCGGGGCCGCGGCCAGCCCGGCGGGGGCGGGGGATGCCCCGGGCTCGGCACCGGCTCCGCTCCCGGTTACGGCAACACCGGGGAGCCGCTGGGGGTTCGGCAGAAAAGGGGGTGCGGGGGGGTCGGGGAAGGGGCCAGCAAGGCCCCGGCAGGAAGAGGAGGAGGAGGAGGAAGAGCAGATGTCGGAGGGTGGCGGGTGACGGCCCGGTAAGGGACCCCCCGCTCCCGCCCACCGGGGCAGGGGGCTCCTCCTCGTCCCCAGCGAAGGGAAGAGCTCTTTAATCATTTCTTTTTAATTAGGATTTTGCACATAAACCTTTCAGTTCAAAGCAGTTCCCATCAAGGCTCGGGCGCCTCCAGGGTACGGATGCCCTCGGGGGGAACTCGCCCGCGGGACCCCCGGGGTCGCCCCCGGGGCAGCACGGGGGGCTCGGGCAGGCGGATGGGGCCATGCCCGGCTTTATTCCGCTCCTTGCACAAAAAGGTGGAATTTCACCACCCTAAAGCAGCTGCCAGAGCGGAGCGGGGACTTTGCAGAGGGATCCGAGTCCCGCCGCAGTCGCGGCAGCTCCCGGCGCTCACAGAGGTAGTTTTGGGGGGAGGAAGGAGCCCGCTCCACTCCCAGCCCCCCAGGGATGGCGGCTGCGCTCGGGCTGCCCCAAGGCCACTCCCAGATCAGCAGCAGCAGCCCCGAAGCGTTCGGGGGGTGCAGAACCCCAGAAACCCACCCTGGGGGGGAAGGCACCGGGCCGGGCCCTGCCTGCGTCCTGGGGACAGCGGCACAAGGCACGACAGGCTTGGGGACACGGACATCACACCTGGCTCCTCCTCAGCCCCCCAGGGCTCATGGGACCCTCGAGGGGCAGGACCGGGCTGGGGGTGTCACTGTGGGACCCCCCAGAGGCAGGACTGTGCTGGGGGTGTCACTGTGGGACCCCCCCCAGAGGCAGGACCGGCCTTGGGGTGTCACTGTGGGACCCCCCCAAAGGTAGGACCAGGCCAGGGGTGTCACTCTGAGCCCCCTCAAAGGCAGGACTGGGCCTGTCACTCTGGTATCACTCTGGAAGTGTCACTTGCAGCCCCCCCAAAGGCAGGACCAGGCCGGGGGTGTCACTCTGGGTCCCCCCCAAAGGCAGGATCAGGCCTAGGCCATTACTTGTGGGTCCCTCCAGAGGCAGGACTGGGCCTGTCACTCTGGGGGTGTCACTGTGGGACCCCCCCAAAGGCAGGACCAGGCCGGGGGTGTCACTCTGGGTCCCCCCCAAAGGCAGGATCAGGCCTAGGCCATTACTTGTGGGTCCCTCCAGAGGCAGGACTGGGCCTGTCACTCTGGGGGTGTCACTGTGGGACCCCCCCAAAGGCAGGACCAGGCCGGGGGTGTCACTCTGAGCCCCCCAGGGTGTCACTTCTGGTCTGGGTTCTGCTGCAGGTGCTGCTCCCACTCCTCCTCCACCACCTTGTAGAGCTCCATGGTGGCTCGGGCATCTTCCACCGAGGAGTGGCCACTCTTCCCCACCTGTGGGCACAGACACAGCTTAGCACAGCTCCCATTTTGGGGGGGCAGCCAGAACTGGGAGGGGGGGATGTACAGAGACCAGGGAGTGCAGGCAGCTGTGGGGCAATGCACACAGTAAGGGTGGGGGGAGGGAGTTGAGGGTGGGCGTGCAGGAGGATTTGGGGTGCATGATTTGGGGTGGATCAGGGCATATGGGCAGCTCCAGGGGGCTGCAGAGAGACTGGGGGGGATGCCAGCAGCTCTGGAGGGGGTGCAGGCAGATGCAGGAAGATGAGGGGGTGCAGGCAGATTTGGGGGTACAGGAAGCTCTGGGGGATGCAGGCACATTGGGTCTGGGGTGGATCAGGGCATGCGGGCAGCTCAGGGGGCTGCAGGCACATTGGGGGGGATGCCAGCAGCTCTGGGGGGGTGCAGACACCTTGGGTGGGCAGATATAGGGAGATGAGGGGGTGCAAGAAGATTTGTGAGGGTACAGGCAGAATGGGGGGCATGCAGGTAGATTTGGGGGTACAGGAAGCTCTGGGGGATGCAGGGAGCTTAGGGGAGTAGAGACAGATTTAGGAGAAAACTGAGGAATTGCAGGCAAAGCTGTGGGGTGTGCATAAAGGGAAAAGAGCAGGAAAAAATCCCCCAAGGCTGCAGGGGTTGAGCTGCATGATTTGGGGTGGATCAGGGCATACGGGCAGCTCAGGGGGCTGCAGGCACATTGGGGGGGATGCCAGCAGCTCTGGGGGGGTGCAGACACCTTGGGTGGGCAGATATAGGGAGATGAGGGGGTGCAAGGGGGCAGCCAGAACTGGGAGGGGGGGATGTACAGAGACCAGGGAGTGCAGGCAGCTGTGGGGCAATGCACACAGTAAGGGTGGGGGGATGCAGGGAGTTGAGGGCGTGCAGGAGGATTTGGGGTGCATGATTTGGGGTGGATCAGGGCATATGGGCAGCTCCAGGGGGCTGCAGAGAGACTGGGGGGGATGCCAGCAGCTCTGGGGGGGGTGCAGGCAGATGCAGGAAGATGAGGGGGTGCAGGCAGAATGGGGGCCATGCAGGTAGATTTGGGGGTACAGGAAGCTCTGGGGGATGCAGGGAGCTTAGGGGAGTAGAGGCAGATTTGGGGATACTGAGAAAACTGGGGAGATGCAGGCAAAGCTGTGGGTTGTGCATAAAGTAAAAAGAGCAGGGAAAAACCCCAAGGCTGCAGGGATTCAGCTGAGGGTTCCCCCCTCCCAGAGAAGGGAAACTGAGGCACAGGGCTGCCTTGCTCCAGGACTGGCAGCAATGGCTGGACTCAGGGTGCCTCAGACCTTCCCCCTTCCCTCCCCACTGTGTCCCTGGCAGGGTGCAGGGGCTCCCCAGCTCCGGGGGCTGCAGCCAGGGTACCTGGATGTCCTGGTTCAGCAGGGCCTTGGTGAGGCGCTTCAGGGAGATGGCCACGTTCTCGGGGAAGCCAGCCCTGCGGTTCAGCAGCGGCATCTGCGACGTGTCCCGGGTCAGAGCTTTGGGGTGGCAGTAATGCAGAGCCTTGAAGTCGTTGTGGATGGCGTGGCCCACCACCACCTTCCCAGCCAGGATCTTCAGAACCTGCAGGAGAGGAGGGGGTGAGACCCCCAGCAGTGCCACCCCTGCCCCCGGGGGAAGATTCTGTCCCTCCCCAGGAACAGGGGCAGCCACATGGGGCAGAGCTGTGGGGCTGAGTGGGTGTGGGGCAGTATGGGGACAATCCCTGTGCCCCAGGGACAATCCCTGTGCCCCACAGGGCAGAGGGGACAATCCCTGTCCCCAGCCCCACATGCCCTATGGCTGCAGCCCCTCACACTGCAGCCACCCCCTCCCACTCCTGCACTCCCAATCCAATCCCAAGGATTGTCCCCCCCTTGCCCTGAGGGGCACAGGCATTGTCCCCAAGGCACAGGGATTGTCCCCACACTGCCCTGTGGGACACAGGGATTGTCTCTGCCTTGCCGTGGGGGGCACAGGGATTGTCCCCCCCTGTCCTGGGGGGCACAGGGATTGTCCCCTCCTGCCCTGAGGGGCACAGGGATTGTCCCACGAGCACAAGCATTGACCCCACCTGCCCTGTAGGACACAGGGACTGTCCCTGCTCTGCCCCGTGGGACACAGGGATTGTCCCCCCTGCCCTGGGGGGCACAGGGATTGTCCCCCCTGCCCTGGGGGGCACAGGGATTGTCCCTGGAGCACAATGTCCCCCCCTGCCCTGGGGGGCTCAGCCCCACACCCCCCACCCCCGTGTCCCCAGAGCCTAGCCCACCCCCGGGTGCCCGCCACCCCCTGCGGCTGTCGCCGTCCCCGACCTGCTGCTGTGCCCTGCGGAAGGGCACGGCCGTGGCCATGTGCTGCCGGCGGATGCCGCTCCAGCGGGTGCGGTAGTCCACGATGGGCTCCTCGGGCCGCACGTAGCGGTCGTACACCACGTCCCCCTCGTAGGTGACAATGCTGCAGCGGGCCAGCGCGCTGGTGCGCCCGCCGGGCCCCGTGCCCACCATCTCACAGTCTATGGCCACCAGCTTGGGGGGCGCCGGGGGGGCACTGCCAGCCGCCCCCCGCGCCTTCCCCGCGCCCCGAGCGGGAGCACCGGGGCCGTTCTGGGCTGCCGGGGGGGCACTGCCAGCCGCCCCCTGAGCTTTCCCCTTGGTGCCGGTGGGGTTCTGGGATACCGGAGGGCACCGGGGAGCGGCGGCAGTGCCGTTCTCTTTAGGGATGCGCCGGCCCGAGCGCCGTGTCCGGGCTCGCCGGAGCCCGCCCGGTGCCCCCGGGAGCTGCTTCTGCCGCAGGACCCCGCGGCGCTCCAGCTCCCGCCGCCGCCGCACGAAGCTCTGGTGCTTTCGGCTCCCTGGCTCCTTCTTCGGGCGGCGCTCGGGGGCGGCGAAGTCCACGTTGAGAATCAGATCGTCCATGGCGGGGCCGCTGCGGGGCGGAGAGGAGCTCAGCGGCGGGGGCCTCGGTACCGGGAACCCCCGACAGCGGGACTCCCGGTACCGGCAACCCCCGACCCCCGGCACCGGCAATACCCGACCCCCGGGACTCCCGGTACCGGCAATGCCTGACCCCCCAACCCCCGGGACTCCCGGTACCGGCAATGCCCGACCCCCGGGACTCCCGATACCGGCAATGCCCGACCCCAGGTACCGGCAATGCCTGACCCCCGGGATTCCCGGTACCAGGAACCCCTGACCCCCAGGACTCCCGGTACCGGCAATGCCCGACCCCCGGGACTCCCGGTACCGGAGACCCCCAGTGTCACCCGCACCCCCTCACCTCCGCGTCCCGGAACCGGAAGTTTCCGGGAAACACGCGGCCGGCCCGGTGCCGGCACTGACGTCATCCGCGCGCGCCGCGGCGGGAACTCGGCGGCGCCGGGAGCTGAGGGGCACGCGCGCGGCCGCGCGGCGTCTCCGTGACGTGTGTGATGACGTCAGATCTACGTCAGGGAGCATGGGCGACGACATGCCCGGTGTCCCGGCCGGCCCGGTGACGTCACGAGTGCCCGGGGGTGAGTGATGTCATGGCTCCGGGGGGCGTCTCGGTGGGGTTGGGGGGTGGTGTCACAGCCGCGTGACGTCACGGCGGGACGCGTTCTCTCGTGACGTCACTGCGCGATGACGTCATATGGGTGCTGAATGGCAGGGGCACAGCCAGGGAGGGGTGACAGTGCCAGGGTGACGCCCCCCTGCCGCCCCAGGGGCCGCCATGGCTGCCGCCCCCCAGGGCCGCCCACAGCGCCCGGAGCAGCGGCGAGCCGCCGACATCATCCGCCTGCTGACGCTCTACCGGCCCCTGCTCGACGCCTTTGTCATTGTGAGTGTCCCGGAGCTGTGCCCCCTGCGACGTGACCCCTGAGCTGTGCCCCCCAGACTGTGCGCCCTGGGCTGTGCCCCCTGAGCTGTGCCCACCGGACTGTGCCCCCTTGGGCTGTGCTCCCCACACTGTGCCCCTTGGGCTCTGCCCCCTGAGTTATGCCCACCAAGCTGTCCCCCAAGCCTGTGTCCCTTGGGCTGTGTCACCCAGGTTGTGCCACTCCCAGGCTGTGCCCTCCCCAGGCTTTGCCATCCAGGCTGTGTCCCCCCGGGCTGTCCCCCAGGGCTGTGTCCCCCAGACTGTGCCCTCCCCAAGCTTTACCCTCCAGGCTGTGTCCCCCAGGCTGTGCCCCCTAGACTGTGACCCCCGGGCTGTGCCCTCCCCACGCTTTGCCCCCCTGGCTGTCCCCCCCAGCCCGTGTTCCCCACGCTGACCCCGCTCTCCTCAGGATTTCTTCACCGAGGATCTGTGGGCACAGCTGCCCGCAGCCTGGCAGCCCGCCCTGGCCAGTGCCACCCCCGTGCAGCTGGCCGGGCTCCTGGGGGGCCGTGGGGGCCCGGGGGCTGCCTGGCCCCTGTCCCTGCTGGCCTTTGCCGCCGCTGCCCGCGCCCTGGGCTTCCCTCGGGGCTGCCCGTGCCCCCCGTGCCCCCCGTGCCCGCCGTGCCAGAGCTCCCGGCTGCACCCGCTGCTGCGCCGCCACGTCAAGCCCAAGAAGCAGCACGAGATCCAGCGCCTGGGCAAGGTGGGTGTCCCTGGCTGTGCCCTGAGCCCCCTCGGCTGCCCCCAGCCCCCTAAGAGCCCCCCTTTCCCCCCAGCTGCTGCGGCGGCTGAGCCGCGCCACCGGCTGCCAGCGCGTGGTGGACGTTGGAGCGGGGCAGGTGAGAGACAGCGGGGGGACACCGAGCGGGGGTCCCAGGGGATCCCCCCAGCCCAGCTGAGCTCATGTCCCCCCTCCAGGGCCACCTGTCCCGGTTCCTGGCCTTCGGCCTGGGGCTGGGGGTCACCGCAGTGGAGAGCGACGGGCGCCTGGTGGGCCTGGCCGAGCGCTTCGACCGGGAGCTGCTGCGGGAGCTGGGCAAGAGCAGGGCGCTGGCACACAGGGGGCACCCCCTCACCCCCCGTGCCCCCCAGCACATCGCCGGCCGCCTGGACCCCGCAGCTCCCTGGGGGGAGTTCCTGCTGCCCCCCGACCCCCCAGGACCCGGCCCAGCTGCCCGGAACCCGCTGGGGGGCCCGGGGGGCTCTGAGGACGGGGGGAGGGTGTTGGTGACGGCGCTCCACGCCTGCGGGGACCTCAGCCCTGCCCTGCTGTGCCACTTCGCCCGCAGCCCCGCCGTGGCTGCCGTGGCCTTGGTGGGCTGCTGCTACATGAAGCTGTCGACAGCCCCGCAGCAGCCCCCTGGCTACCCCCTGAGCGCCTCGGTGGCGGCGTTGCCGGGCCACCAGCTGTCCTACCGGGCACGGGAGGCCGCGTGCCACGCTCTGGAGGAGTACCAGGGGCGGCTGCGCGGGGGCAGCGCCCACCTGCGTGCCCACTGCTACCGCGCCGTGCTCGAGAGCCTGATCCGCGCCGCCGACCCCGGCAAGAGGCACCTGGGCCTGCAGCCGGGCAGGAAGGCACACACCCTCAGCTTCCCCCAGTGAGTCTGGGCACGGGGACCCCCTTCTGCATCCCCTGGTGGTCCCCAGTGAGCCCTTTCTGGGAGATCTGCTGGCCCTCCCTGAGTTTGGGGAGGGAGGATGCTTTTCTAGCCCCCCATGAGTTTGGGGAGGGAGGATCCTTTTCTGGAACTCCTTGTGAGTTTGGGGAGGGGAAACCCCCTGCAGTGGCCCTGCAGTGAGTTTGGGGACAGGGAACCCCCTTTTGGGACCCTCTTCCTGAGTGTGGCAGTGGGATCAACCTCCTGTGCCCCTTCCTGGCCCTGCAATGAGTTTGGGGAGGGGGTTACTCCTTTCTGGGACCCTCTTTATGAGTTTGAGAGGGAGTATCCTTTCCTGGAACTCTCCTTGTGAGTTTGGGGACTGGGGTCAACCTCCTGTGTCCCTTCCTGGCCCCGCAGTGAGATTGGGGAGGGAGAACTCCTTTTTGGGACCCTCTTCCTGAGCGGGGTCAACCTCCTGTGTCCCCTCATGACCCCACAGTGAGTTTGGGGAGGGGGAACCCCCTTTTGGGACCCTTGTCATGAGTGGGGAATGGGGTCAACCTCCTGTCCTCCTCCTGGCCCCACAGTGAGTTTGGGGAGGGAGAACTCCCTTCTGGGACCCTCTTCATGAGTTTGAGAGGGAGGATCCTTTTCTGGAACTCTCCTTGTGAGTTTGGGGAGTGGGGCCAACCTCCTGTGTCCCTTCCTGGCCCCACAGTGAGACTAGGGAGGGGGAACCCCCTTTTGGGACCCTCCTACTGAGTGTGGAGATGGGGGAGCCCTGCCTGAGACTCCCCTGCCCCCGTTTTATGACAGATACGCCCAGCTGGGGCTGTCCCTGGCAGGCCTGGACCCAGCGGGGGTCCCGCTGGACTCGGGGGCTGTGGGGGCCATGCTGGAGCAGCAGCACAAGGTGGTGGCATTCTGCACCCTGGGACAGCTTCTGGCACCTGCCGTGGAGACCCTCATCCTGCTCGACCGCCTGCTCTACCTGCGGGAGCAAGGTGGGCATGGGCACAGCTGCCAGGGCCCTCCTCCCCGTCCTTTCTCCTCTCTCCCTGGACCCCTCTCTCTGTTCTCCCAACTCTCCTTTTTCCCTTTTTCCCAGGTTTCCACTGTGCCCTCGTGCCCCTCTTCAACCCCCGGTTCTCCCCGCGGAACCTGGTGCTGGTGGCCGCACGCACCCCGCTGGCCACAGCGCTGGCCAAGGACGCTGAGGATGGGCACAGCAGCGAGGATGAGGATCTGGAGGAAGCAGAGTCCCCCAGGGAGTGGCAGAACCCACAATAAACCCAGGATTTTTACACTCCAGGGCTGGGTGTGAGTCTGTGCTACGCCAAAAGCACTGCGCACCACAAACAGCAAATCCAGGGGGTGTTTATTGCAGAGCCCGGCTCGGGGGGCTCCCAGCTCCCCCAGTTAACACCAGTAGGATTTCCTGGCCTGGCTGGGGGGGCTCCCAGCTCCCCCAGTTAACACCAGTAGGATTTCCTGGCCTGGCTGGGGGGGCTCTCAGCTCCCCCAGTTAACACCAGTAGGATTTCCTGGCCTGGCTGGGGGGGCTCCCAGCTCCCCCAGTTAATACCAGTAGGATTTCTTGGCCCGCCGTGTCTCCACGATGCCCATGGCATCCATGATCTCCTCCTCGAAGGTCTTCAGCGACGGCCGGTACGTCTTGGCCAGCGCGTCCTCCTTCGACGTGTCCTTGGGGCCATCTGTGCGGGCAAGGGGACAGCGCTGACCCCCCCATGTCCCCTGCCACGTGCCACCACCCCCTGTGCCACCCCTCTCACCGATCCACTGCTCGGGGACGATGCCATCCTTGCGTGGCTGCGGGGGCACGGGCAGGATGCGGCCGCTGCGCAGCGACACGCGCACGCGCTCGCCCTCCTCCGTGTACCTCCACTCCACCTCCGTCGGCTTCCTGCGGGCACGGGGCGTTGCTGGGGGGCAGGACTGAGGCTGGGGGTCCCCCCAGCACCCCCCGGGGGCTTTACCGGTCCTCGGGGTCCACCAGGCAGATCTGGCTGAGCAGCAGCGGCGCCTCGCTGGCGACGTAGGTCCCCGAGTACTTGGCCATGCGGTTGACGTAGCGATAGTGCTGCGAGGGCACCGTGGGGGTCACGGACGGCCCGCGGCCCCCCCAGCCTCCCCCACAGGCTGCAGGGCCTCCTGCAGCCCTCCCCGCCGCGGCCTCACCGTGTTCAGTCCTTCCACCACCACCCAGTTGCGGTCTCGCACCACCTGGGTGACCATGCCCTGCCTGCCCGCGTCCTTCCCGGCCAGCAGCTGCACCTGCGGCGGAGAGAGGGGCACAGGTGGGACCCCAGCCCAGCTGCCAGGCAGGGGGGGAGCCCGGGGAGGGGTGAGCCTCACCGTGTCACCCTTGAACACCTTCCAGTCGTCCTTGGCGATAGGCTCCACGAAGACCTTGCGGCGGCGCTGCCCCGGGGGGTTGCGGAGCCGGGCGGCCACGGAGTCCGGGGGCCACGTGCCGTGCCGGTAGCCCGGGGGCAGCCGCGGCCGCGCCGCGCTCAGCAGGACCGAGAGCCGCATGCTGCTGCAGAGTGGGAGGTCAGGGGGGGCTCTGTGAACACCCCTCATCCTCGCCAGGGTCGTGTGTGGACAGGTGTAAGGGTCCGGCAAAGCCCACCCACCCTGAGCCCCCCCTGAAGGGGATGGAAGCGTCTGGCAGAGCAGCCCCCCACAAAAGGGATCCCACAGATTGTCGCCCCCCACACCCGCAAAGGGGACCTGGTCCCCAGCAGATCCCCCACAGCCCAAAGGGGATCCAGGTGCTGGCAGATCCCTTAACCATGGAGGGACCCAGCGATCCCACAGGGCACCCCCACACAAAGGGGACCCCGGTGTCCTGAAAAGCACCAGGACTCCCATCGGGGACTGCAGAGCCCCCCACTCCCCGCAGAGACACACACACATCTTCCCCTTTCCCGGGGGGAACACCCCCCAAGAGCACCCGGGGTCCCACAGAACTCAATCCCCCAAAGGGCACACGCACACGGGCAGAGCCTCCCCCACCCCCGAGGGGCCCCATGGATACCCCAAAGACCCCCTGACTCCCAAAGATCACCCTGCTCCCAAAGAGCTCCCTGACTCCCAAATACTCCCTGACTCCCAAAAACTCCCATTACTCCCGAGCCCCCCTGCTCCCAAAGGCCCCCCTGCTCCCAAAGGAACCCGCAGAGCACACACCCCCTCCACCCCACCAGGAACGACACCCAGGCGTCCCGCACAGCCCCGGCCGCCCCCAAAGGACCCCAAGCCCCGGCAAACCCCCCCGGTAGCCCGGAAAGGCCCCGCAGAGCCCCGCGGGGGTCCCGGCCCCCTCCCCGCTCACCCGCGCCGCTCCCGCGCTCCGGGGGCGTGGCCGAGCGCGGTGGGCGTGGCCAAGCCGCGGCGCTGTGGAGGTCGCGGGGGGTGATGCTCGGCGCTGGGCACGCCGGGAGTTGTGGTCCAGGCGCTGGGCACGCCGGGAGTTGTGGTCCTGGCGCGGGGCACGCCGGGAGCCGTAGTTCCGCCGCCCCTCCGGCCCCCCAGCCAGGCCGCAGCCCCGGCCCACGGTGAGCGGCTGCCCGGGAGCTGTAGTCCGGCCTCGGCTCCATCTTCTGCTGCTGTCCTTCCTGCTCCCGGGGCTGGTCCAGGGACAAGGGACAGTCTCTGCCGTCCCCTCTGCAGGGAGCCGGCCCAGTTTGGCCTGTCCTGTCTGGGCTGTGTGTGGGACAGAGCGGCCAAGAACGGTCACGGCCCCAAGCCTGACACAGCTCACGGAGCGTTTGGACACGGCCCTCGGGCACAGGATGGGATTTCACAGTGCCCAGAGCAGGACTCGATTATCCTGATTATTCCTGGTCAGGGTATTCCACTATTCCAGCATGAAAACTGAGTGCTTGGGCAATGTTCTAGGAGGCTGGGACTGGGAGCATTTTGGGGTGTCCTGTGCAGGACCCAGAGCAAGACTTCATTATTCTGACAGGTCCCTTCCTGCCCAGGATATTCCACCATTCCAGCACGGAAGCCGAGTGCTTGAACAAGGTTCTAGGACATTTGGTTTGGGAGCATTTTGGGGTGTCCTGTGCACGGCCCAGAACTGGACTCGATTATCCTGATGGGTCCCTTCCTGCTCAGGATACTCCACTATTCCAGCAGAGAGGCTGAGTGCTTGGACAATGCTCTAGGACATTTGGATTGGGAGCATTTTGGGGTGTCCTGTGCAAGGCCAGACCTCGATGGGGTCCCTCCCAGCTCAGGATATTCCAAGATCCTTAATTCTGACAGGTCCCTTCCTGCCCAGGATATTCCACCATTCCAGCACGGAAGCTGAGTGCTTGAACAAGGTTCTAGGACATTTGGGTTGGGAGCATTTTGGGGTGTCCTGTGCAAGGCCAGACTCGATGGGGTCCCTCCCAGCTCAAGATATTCCAAGATCCTTAAGGTCAAGGAGTGTTAGACAATGCTGGGATTTTGAGGTGCTGTGTGCAGGGCCAGCAGTGAGATTTGATCCTTCTGTGCCCCATCCAGCTCAGGGCATTCTGTGATTCTGTAATTCCTATTTTAGCTCCCATCCAAACCCTTCCCCTGCCCCAGCCCCATGTGCTCACTCCCCCCACCCCAGAGGGGCTCTGGCGGCCCAAAAGGCCCCAAAACCCCCCATGCAGGGGGGTCCAGGGGCTAACCCAGGTCCCACAGGCTCTTTTAAAAAGGCAAGATTTGCTTTTATTTCAAATCACCAGCTGAGCCCCGAGGAATCGCTAACACAAAGCGTGCGCCCACAGCGGGGCGGGCACGGAGCGCTCGGGGCAGTACCGGGCTGCTCTGCATTCCTCTTTTTTTTTTCTTCTTTTTGTAGTTTTTTTTTCTTTTGGAAATTTCCTTGTCGGGGTGGTTTCTCTCATCCGGAGCTCCGGACGCGACGAGCCGGCGTGGGGCAGCACCCAGGAGCCAGCAGGGAAGGATCAGCTCGCCAGGGAAGCCACTACAGGCTGTGGGGGGCCAAGAAGAGAGCCAGGCTCTTGTCAGACCCCTGTGGTGCCAGGGGGGCCCCCAAAACCTGGAGGCTGTGGGGATAGGGCTCACAGGACCAGCCTCACCTCTCCTTGTGGTCTCTGACCTCCTCCTTGCCCTCCTGCTTGGCCTCGTTGGTGGCCGGTGTGTCGGCGGCGTCGCTGTTCTTGTCCCCCTCTCCTGGGTTGGCTTTGGCCTCCTCCTTGGGGGTCTCTTCGTTGGCCACCTTCTTGTCCCCTTCCTGCCCCTCTGCATCCTTGGGGCGTTTGGGGGAGTCCTGGGAGGAGAACTCAGGTCAGACCCTGTCCCCAACAGCCCCTGCCCCAAACATCCCCATCTCTGTCCCCAACAGCCCCTGACCCAAAAATCTCCATCCCCTGCCCCCAACATCCCCATCCCCTGTCCCCAACATCCCCTGACCCAAAAATCTTCATCCCCTGCCCCCAACATCCCCATCCCTGTCCCCAACATCCCCTGTCCCCAACATCTCCATTCCCTGTCTCAAACAAATATCGCCTCCTCCTTGGGGGTCTCTTCGTTGGCCACCTTCTTGTCCCCTTCCTGCCCCTCTGCATCCTTGGGGCGTTTGGGGGAGTCCTGGGAGGAGAACTCAGGTCAGACCCTGTCCCCAACAGCCCCTGCCCCAAACATCCCCATCTCTGTCCCCAACAGCCCCTGACCCAAAAATCTCCATCCCCTGCCCCCAACATCCCCATCCCTGTCCACAACATCCCCTGACCCAAAAATCTCCATCCCCTGCCCCCAACATCCCCATCCCTGTCCCCAACATCCCCATTCCCCAACATCTCCATTCCCAGCCCGTCCCAAAAATCCTGTTCCAAACATCCCTATCCCTGTCCCAAACATCCCCAGCTGCTGTCCCCTGTCCCCAACATCCCCTGTATCCAGCATCTCCAGCCCCAGTCCCAAACATTTCCACTCCCTGTCCTCTGTCCCCAACATCCCCTGTCCCCAGCATCTCCATTCCCTGTCCCCAACATCCTCATCCCATCCCCAACATCTCCATCCCCTGTTCCAAAAATATCCCCAGCCCCTGTCCCAAAAATCCTGTCCCCAACATCCCTATCCCTGTCCCAAACATCCCCAGCCAATGTCCCCTGTCCCCAACATCCCCTGTATCCAGCATCTCCAGCCCCAGTCCCAAACATTTCCACTCCCTGTCCTCTGTCCCCAACATCCCCTATCCCAAAAATCTTCATCCCCTCTCCCCAACATCCTCACCCCGTCTCCAACATCCCCTGTCCCCAACATCTCCATTCCCTGTCCCCAACACCTCCATTCCCTGTCTCCAACATCCTCATCCCATCCCCAACATCTCCATCCCCTGTTCCAAAAATATCCCCAGCCCCTGTCCCAAAAATCCTGTCCCAAACATCCCTATCCCTGTCCCAAACATCCCCAGCTGCTGTCCCCTGTCCCCAACATCCCCTGTCCCCAACATCTCCATATCCTGTCCCCAATATCCCCTGTCCCCAATATCCCATCCCCAGTATCTCCATTCCGTGTCCCAAACATCCCCTGACCCAAAAATCTCCATCCCCTGCCCCCAACATCCCCATCCCCTGTCCCCAACATCTCCATTCCCTGTCCCCAACACCTCCATTCCCTGTCTCCAACATCCTCATCCCATCCCCAACATCTCCATCTCCTGTCCCCAGTATCCTGTCCCCAGTATCTCCATTCCGGGTCCCAAACATCCTCTGACCCAAAAATCTCCATCCCCTGCCCCCAACATCCCCATCCCCTGTCCCCAACATCTTCATCCCCTGTCCCCAAAATCTCCATCCCCTGCCCCCAACACCTCCAGCCCCAGTCCCAGCATCCCCATCCCCTGTCCCCAGCATCCCCATCTCCTGTCCCAAACAAACATCCCCATCTCCTGTCCCAAACATCCCCATCTCCAGTCCCCAACACCCCCAGCCCTGCCCAGCCCACCCAGTACCTCCAAAGCATCCTCAGCTTTCCTCTTGATCCCTCCTTTCTCGTTCTTCTCCTTGGACTGCTCGTCGATCACCAGCTTCCCCTCCTCGTCGCTGCTGCCCTCGGCGTTGCTCTTCTTCTCCCCGTCCCCCTCCGGCTCCCGCTCGGCCGCCTCGGGGCAGCTCTTCTTCTGGGTGGGCTGTGGGCAAGGGGGGTTCACAGGGGGCCCCCAGGAAGGAGGAATGGCGGGGGGAGGTGGGATGGAGCCCCCCCAGCTCGTGACCCACCTGGTAGCCGGAGGCTTTGACCGTGGGGTTGTTCTCGATCTCCCACAAACCTTCGCTGAACCCTTTCCGCTTGTTGGGTTTTCCAAACTTCTCCTTGCACTCCTCGTAGGGGAAGAGGTCTTTGGGCCCCAGGAATGCCCTGTGCCAGGGGGAAACAGTGAGGGGCGGGAGCAAGGGGGGGGTCTCACCTCTCCCAAACTCACTGTGAGCCCCAGCTCCCACTCACGTTTCGTGGGTCCCGAAGAAGAAGACTTGGTACTTATTGGAGGAGGATTTGACTGCAGCTTCTGGCATCTCATCAATCTGTGTGACACAAAGGACAGGGTGACAGGAGAGGGCAGAGACCCCTGGGGCTCCTCAGACCCCAGGACATCCCCCCACCCCCTCCAGTGTCCTCTGATGGGCACAGCTCAGGAAAGGAAAATTCCTTGGGAATTCCCCCACTGTCTGGAGACAGTGCTGGCAAGAAATGCTTAGCAGAACAACTGGGCTCCCACTGGGCTCCCCTTCTCCCACCCCTTCATCCCCTTAAGCTCCAGTCTAGGCCAGCTCAGACACACTCAGCGAATTCAGGCACTGCCAGTGGTGCCACAGCTCCTCAGACCCCAGGACATGCCCCCACCCACCCTCTCCAGTGTCCTGTGGATGGGCACAGCTCAGGAAAGGAAAATTCCTTGGGAATTCCCCCACAGTCTGGAGACAGTGCTCAGCAGAACACGAGGTTCTGCCCCCAGGTGTGGGGACCAGCAGGGCTCCCCTTCTCCCACCCCCTCGTGCCTTAAGCTCCAGTCTAGACCAGCTCATTCACACTCAGCACATTCAGGCACTGCCAGCGGTGCCACAGGCATCGCCCCCAGCCTGGGCCAGCAATGGGATTGGGGTGCCTGGGGGGGACACCCTGGCCAAAACGGGGTCACCAGACAAGGGGACAGTCTGGAGAGGGCTCTGGGGTCACGCAGCAGCCGGTGCCAAGCCCACAGGCAGGTGCTGCTCCACCGAGCGTGAATAATCCCGAGGCGCCAAGCGGGAAGGGAGCGAAAGCAACTCCGGCTGCTTTTTATAGCATCTAAAAATAACCCCCCCTGCAGCCAGCAGCCATAAATTCCCCGAGAAAACCTCCAAGGGAGGTGGAAGGAGCTGAAGGAGGATGCGGGTGGGGGTCTCGGGGCAGGCGCCAGCACGTCACCGGGCTGGAAGGTGCCAGCGGGGACGGCCAG